TTTTTCTTGTTGTTTTGTCGGGTTTCAGGTTTTTAGGGCTTAGGTTTTTTTAGGGGTTAAGTGTTTTAAAGGTTTCGGGTGTTTTTAGGGTTTGGGTGGTTTTTAAGGTTTAGGTGGTTTTTAGGGTTTAGGGTTTTTGCGTTTAGCAGGTTTTTAGGGTCTTTGGGGTTTAGGGTTTCAGGGTTTTTAGGGTATAGATGTTTTAGAGATGAGGTGGTTTAAGGTTTAGGGTGTTTTTAGGGCTAGGTGGTTTTTAAGGTTTAGGGGTTTTTTTAGCGTTTAGCGGGTGTTTAGGGTGTTTAGGGTTTAGGGTTTTTAGGATTTAGGTGATTTTAATTTAAGGTTTGGTGCGTGTTTTGGGTTTAGGCGGTTTTTCAGGTTTAGTGGTTTTTTAGGGTTTATGGTTTTTCAGAGTTTAGGGGTTTGAGGGTTCAGGGTTTTTGGCAGGTTTTTAAGGTTTTTAGGGTTTAGGGCTTCAGGGTTTACAGTTGTTAGGGTTTAGGGTTTTTTAAGGTTTAGGTTTTCTTAAAGTCTTAGGGTTTCGGGTTTTTAGGGTTTAGGTTTTCTAGGGTTTTGATGTTTTTAAAGTGCAGTTTTTTTTGTAAAGGTTTAGGCCTTTTTAGGGTTTAGGGGTTTTAGGGTTTAGGGTTTTAAGCTTTTAGGGTTTTTAGGGTTTAGTGCTTTTTACCGTTTAGCGGTTTTTTAGGGTTCAGGGCTTTTTGGGTGTTAGGCGGTTTTTGAGGCTTAGAATGTTTTTAGGGTTCAGGGTCTTTAAAGGTTTAGAGTGGTTTCAGGGTTTTGTTTTTGTGGGTTTAAGGTGTTTTTAGAGTTCAGAGGCTTTTTGGGGTTTAGGGGCTTTCTGGGGTTTAGGGTGTTTTTGGGGTTTACAAGGTTTTTTCGGTTTACGCGTTTTTAGGGTTAGTGTTTTCAAGGTTTAGGGTTTTTAGGGCTCAGGTGCTTCTAAGGTTTAATGGTTTTTAGGGTTAGGGTTTTTAAGGTTTAGGGTTTTTAGGGTTTAGGTGTTTTTAAGGTTTAGGGTGTTTAGGGTTTTTAGGGTTTAGGTTTTTTTTTTAAGGTTGAGGGCGTTTTTTTGGGGTTTAGGTGGTTTTTCAGGTTTAGTGGTTTTTTAGGGTTTATGGTTTTTCAGTGTTTAGGGGTTTGAGGGTTCAATGTTTTTAGCAGGTTTTTAAGGTTTTTAGGGTTTCAGGGTTTACAGTTGTTAGGGTTTAGGTGTTTTTAAGGTTTAGGTTTTCTTAAAGTCTTAGGGTTTCGGGTTTTTAGGGTTTAGGTTTTCTAGGGTTTTGATGTTTTTAAAGTGCAGTTATTTTTTGTAAAGGTTTAGGCCTTTTTAGGGTTTAGGGGCTTTTAGGGTTCAGATTTTTTTTGGGTTTAGGTGGTTTTTAGGGTTTAGGTGTTTTTAGGGTTTAGGGTTTTTAAAGGTTTAGGAGGCTTTTTGGGGTTTAAGTGTTTTTCAGGGCTTGGAAGGTTTTAGGGGTTTAAGGATTAGGGTTTAGGTGGTTTTTAGGGTTTAGAATGTTTTCACGGTTTAAGGTTTTTCAAGGTTTATGGTTTTTAGGGTTTAGTGTTTTTAGCAGGTTTTTAGGGTTTTGGGGGTTTAGGTTGTATAGCGTTTAGGGTTTTTAGGGTTTAGGGTGTTTAAGGTTTAGTGTTTTTTGGGTTTAAGGCTTTTTAGGGTTTAGGGTTTTTTTCAGGTTTAAGGTTTTTAGCATTTAGGATTTTTAGGGTTTAGGGCTTTTTAGGGTTTAGTGGTTTTAGGTTTCAGTGTTGTTTTGGGTTTAGGCGGTTTTTAAGTTTTTCGGGTTCAGTGGATTTGTGGGGTTTAGGGTGTTTTTAGGGTTCATGTGTTTTTTAGGGTTTAGGATGTTGTTAGGGTTGATGTGGTTTTTAAAGATTAGGGTTTTTAAGGTTTAGGGTGTTTAGGGTTTAGGGTTTTTAGGGTTTAGGCGTTTTTGAGGTTTAGTGCGTTTTTCTTGTTGTTTTGTCGGGTTTCAGGTTTTTAGGGCTTAGGTTTTTTTAGGGGTTAAGTGTTTTAAAGGTTTCGGGTGTTTTTAGGGTTTGGGTGGTTTTTAAGGTTTAGGTGGTTTTTAGGGTTTAGGGTTTTTGCGTTTAGCGGGTTTTTAGGGTCTTTGGGGTTTCAGGGTTTAGGGTTTTTAGGGTATAGATGTTTTAGGGATGAGGTGGTTTTAAGGTTTAGGGTGTTTTTAGAGCTAGGTGGTTTTTGAGGTTTAGGAGGTTTTTAGTAGGGTTTAGGGTTTTTTAGCGTTTAGCGGGTTTTTAGGGTCTTTAGGGTTTTTAGGGTTTAGGTGTTTTTAATTTATGGTTTAGTGCGTTTTTTTGGGTTTAGGCGGTTTTTCAGGTTTAGTGGTTTTTTAGGGTTTATGGTTTTTCAGTGTTTAGGGGTTTGAGGGTTTAGGGTTTTTGGCAGGTTTTTAAGGTTTTTAGGGTTTAGGGCTTCAGGGTTTACAGTTGTTAGGGTTTAGGTGTTTTTAAGGTTTAGGTTTTCTTAAAGTCTTAGGGTTTCGGGTTTTTAGGGTTCAGGTTTTCTAGGGTTTTGATGTTTTTAAAGTTTAAGGCTTTTTAAGGTTTAGGCCTTTTTAGGGTTTAGTGGCTTTTAGGGTTCAGATTTTTTTTGGGTTTAGTTGGTTTTTAGGGTTTAGGTGTTTTTAGGGTTTAGGGTTTTTAAAGGTTTAGGAGGCTCTTTGGGGTTTAAGTGTTTTTCAGGGCTTGGAAGGTTTTAGGGGTTTAAGGATTAGGGTTTTTAAGGTTTAGGGTGTTTAGGGTTTAGGTTTTTTAGGGTTCAGGTGTTTTTAAGGTTTATTTTTTTTTTCTTTTCGTTTTTCGGGTTTTGTGTTTTTAGGGTTTAGGTTTTTAGGGATGAGGTGGTTTTAAGGTTTAGGGTGTTTTTAGCGTTTAGGTGGTTCTTAAGGTTTAGGAGGTTTTTAGGGTTTAGGGCTTTTTAGCATTTAGCGGGTTTTTAGGGTGTTTAGGGTTTAGGGTGTTTAGGGTTTAGGGTTTCAGGGTTTAGGAGTTTTTAGGGTTTAGGGTTTTCAGGGTTCAGGCTTTTCTGGGGCTTAGGGCTTTAAGCATTCAGGGTTCTTAGGGTTTCGGGTTCTTAGGGTTTAGGGCTTTTGTAGGTTTAGGGGGTTTGGAGGGCTTTGTATGGATTAAGGCCGCTTAGGGTTTAGGCTCTTCTCGGTCTGTTTGCAGGTCTCCATGGCTCAACAACCCTAAAAACTTCCTTCAAAACAGGAACCCTTCTGCAGAGCATTCGGTAAGAAACCCAAACCCAAATCCTAAACGACCCCAAGCCCCAAATCCTAAACGACCCCAAACCCCAAAGCCCAAACAGCCTGACGCCCTAAACCTGGAACCCAAAACCTTAAACAACCTCAAACCGCAAACCCTAAACAGCCCCAAATGCCCCAAACAGCCCTAAGCCCTCAACAAGCCCAAACCCTAAACAGCCCCAAAGCCTAAATTCTGAACAGCCCCAGGCCCAAAGCCCTGGGCAAACTCGGACCCTAAATCTTCTCTACATGAAGTAGTATCAAGCGCAGCATTGCAAAAGTGACCCTTTTGTTGGGTGCGAAACTGATCCCCTGTCATGGGCGACGGTGGCCCTTATGTTGTGGGTGAAAGTGATCCCATTACCCTTAACTAGGGCTGGTTAGTTGGTGCTGTTACAATGTTACAATGCTTGGAGGACTGCCGCCGCCGGTTCCAAATTGAACCATAGCCCTGAGGTTCACCAGAATTCCATTCGATGCACCGGCAGAATCCTTGATGTAGCTGGTTTACCTGCATTTACGTCCACACCCATGCCCTATGTAAACGATACGAAAGTCTCCACGGCTCGTGTCAACAAGTGTTTTGACAACGTGTCGAGCCTTGCAAAGCTACAGCTCTGGGCGAGTTTATTGAGTCTGCCTGCTGTGAGCCAAGGATGGGCGATCTCGTGGTCAGGGGCTGGTGGAATACACCTCCCCGCAGGACGCAAGGCTGCCGGCAGGACTCCTGGCAGCAGACACTCGTGCTCAAACATGTGCAGGTCAGCCATCAGCTACTTGAACGGATGGTCTATCAACGGCTTCACGCTCAAGGTTCAGGCTCCTCCAATGGCCTTGTCACTGCAGCATCTCATCGTGCCCATGTGCCCCGCCAGGAGGATCGCGCAGGATCAAGGCATTGTGCTTGCAAATTGACAGCCAGCTGTGGCACAAGTTCAGAGCACATAGTAAGCCGTTTGAAGGGACCAAGTGCAAACCTAGATGTGGAGGTCGGCCGGGATGGAAACGTGGCAGGCATCGCAGAGTACATGGCCTCAGCTTTACCTCGCTGGGTTCCTGTCTCATCGCTTAATCTCAAGATCATGTGCTCCGAGGTAGCTGGACAAACAAGGCCCTGACTCAACTGCACCACTAGATTCTGAAGGGATAAGCCTTGAAACCGAAAGCCGCTGTGCACCTTGCAAGGAGGTGGAAGTGGACTGGTGGGACGGCCGCTCGAGTGGACCTGCCTGGCTTGAAGTAGCGGGCGTTCTGCAAACTCATAATTGATATGTGTTGTCGTTGTCCCGCCAGTCTTCTTCAGTGGCTGTCCAAGCCAGCTGCCGGTGGGAAAAGTTGCGAGCTTATTTTTGCGGCACCGTTCGTGCTAGGAGCAGTCACCTTCACAAATTGGCCTCTGTCGGACTGTTCATCACGGCTGTCTCAACATTATGCGGGGCTGGCACGGGAGGCCGTTGTCTGCCCTATATCCTTTCCAAATGAAGATTGCAGCTTCAGGGCACTTTTTTTGTAAACGGGCACAATATGCCTAGCTTGCCTGGAGAGGTTCAGTGGAAGTGGGTGCAGGTCTGTTCATACTGCTTCATGCCTCAAGCTTCTTGTTTGCTGTCTGTGCAAGACTTTCTACACTTGATGCTTTTGTAAAGAGAGCCGTGGAACGGTCCTTTACAAACGTGCTCACGGGCTCTGCTTGCAAGTCATGCCGCGCTTTGGCATGTGTCCCATGCTGCCTCGCTTACAGTGCCCGCATAAGGCGGCCGTGTCCCGCTTCGCAGTTCCAGGATCTTCTTGATATTTGTCGATATCGATCAGGGGCAAACGAAAAGCAAGGCATCTTCTTCTGTGCTCTTGAAGCCAGATGGGGAAAAGCAGTGCATGTCAAACAGTTGGCCCTCGGGGGCTGAGCTTGTTGAGCACGTGCATAATGGCAGGAGATGACCCACGTTTTCATGCCTTGTTTGTTCTAAGGTTCAGGCCTACTTTCAGGAGTACGGCACGTTCCCCAGCCATAAAAGACGATCGTCAGAGTACGCGAAGTTGATGAATTTGAAGCCGAGCGAAGCCGAGCATTTAGCAGTGCAAAACATTGAAACCTATGGTAGGGAGATGCCACGAGGCGCCAAAACCATAATTGCATGTGACAAGTGCGCCTGCAGCGAACAACTTTCAGAGACATGTGATGCAAGTAACCTCGCCGCAACTTGTGGGTGTGGGGTAGATGGCATCCGCTGCTTTACGGCAATCATGGCTGCAGCGGATGAAGATGGCGTGAAGGAGGGGGGGTGCTTTGTAGTCGGAGTGTGAAATGAAATGTGATATCCATGAGGACCAGTGTGAAGAACCGCGAAGAGGTGCCATCTCTTGAAGTGCGGCAAATGACGGCACAGCACATACAAAGTAAATCAATTTTGGTGAGACGTTTTCGCGTCTTTAGCAGCCATTTGGCTTGTAAGAAGTAGATTGGCAGATACGAGGAGGCATTCTGTGGGACACCGCGCGGGGCGTGTGGTCATGGCCTCGTTATCATATTATGCGGGGGGCGAGTGGATGAATTTCCCCTACGGGAGTGAGCCACGGAAGCCGAAGATCCAGGTGGAGCATGCGAGCAAAGAGCTTGTGAAGTTCACTCTCAGTGACACGGACGTATCCGTGGCGAACGCCGTTAGGCGTGTAATCCTCGCTGAGGTCCCTACAATGGCTATCGAGATTGTTAACATTGAAGAGAACGACACCGTGCTCTTTGATGAGTTCATCGCTCACAGAATGGGCCTGATACCTTTGTCTAGTCACGGCGTCGGAGACATTCCTCCAGATGGCGGTGTGCTAGAGTACAAAGATTGCAACTGCTTTGATGGTTGTCCTTACTGCACTAGGGAGTTTCGACTTGACGTTAACAATGACGAAGACAAAGTTCTTTCAGTCACTCATTTCGATATTCAGCAAGACACAGCTGATACGAAGAGGTTCGAGCGACCAGAGTGGCCGCACTTCAAGAAGGTGCGTTGCTGTCCTTTTCGGGATGTTACGCTAGATGAAGATGCAGACCACCGGGAGAATGGGATCATCATCGCAAAGATGAAGAAGGATCAGAACCTGAAGATGATCTGCCAAGCCCGGAAGGGCATTCCAAAATACCACTCCAAGTGGATGCCGGTAGCTACCTGTGTCATGAACTATGAACCCATTGTCACAGTAAATCCTGAAGTTGCAGCGACTCTGTCAGCAGATGACAAAGTCGACTTCGTTCAGTCTTGTCCGCGAAACGTGTTCGAGATTGACCAAGACATTGAGGAGATTAAAGTGGCCCGGCATCGTGACTGCATATTCTGTGATGAGTGCACGACCAAAGCCAGGCTGCTGAACAAGAAGGATCTTTGCACGGCAGCTATGGACACATCCAAGTTTCACTTCACTGTGGAGGCCGTAACATCGGATGGGCCGAGAACGGCCGTGGACGTCGTCCGCGCTGCGCTGCGAATCCTTGATTACAAGCTATCTGTTTTCATGAGAGACGCCTATGGAGATGAGATCAAAGACTACTTACCCCTGGCGGTGGGGGGTCTTGAAAGACCGGGCATCTAGGCTGGCGGAGAGCTGACTTCGATGACCAAGCAGCAAAATAATAGCTTGGCTTGCAACCTGCCTGAGTCAAATGCAGACCTCAAGCAGGTAATGCCTGGAAGGGGCCTGACTGCAGTGAAAGCGTGCCAGGTGGAGATGGCGGCAACATCTTCCTGTGGGGGGCTCATTCCACAGCGTATTGGACAGAGCATCAATGCGACAGCATCCTAGGACATGCCTTCGGATCCGGTTTGAGGAGCGTGGCAGCTGGTCCAAAGCCCTTGCAGATCCTCCGCTGCAGGTTTGGCTAGCACAGAGGCACAAGGTGGTCAGTAGTGCCAAGACGTTGCCAGGCAAAAGCACGCGAGAGCGATGATTTGGAAGGCAATCAACGCATGTTTTGCGGTGATTAGCTGCGTTGCTGCTGGGACCGCCCGCAGGTGTTGCTAACGCAGGCATTGCAGCTGCAGGCTTGGCACAGAAGGTGGAGGATGTGAAAAGCAAGATGGGCTACTCACAAACTGGACTTGAGCACCTAGATCCTGTACTTGCTAGCTCGGATGGTTTTGTTCAGTCTGCTGTTCATCCCGCTTTGTTCGAGGTAGTAGCTCCCCAATGAGCGCCAACAGTCCGGCTGGACGTTTGGGAAAGGACACTCACGAACTCAGCTGCCTTTTGTTGGACTGTGCCGCAAAGCAGTTCAGGAGAAATCCTTGACTTTTCGTCGTGGACTCACCGTACCCATGAGGCAAGACTTTCGATGCTGTCGGAGAGCTCCAGATAACATAAGACACAGGTCAGAGGACGAGTCGTCGAGCAGCAACAGCAGCCCAAGTCCACGCAAGCTGCGCAGCAAACTCTGCCACTTGGCCTTTGGCTGCCAGCTCAGATCAACTCAGATCCAAACATAAAATCAGTCCTGCCGTTGGACAAAAAGAAGTAATGTAACGTCAGGTTACGCAAGCGAAGCCTTGCTTCTGCAGCAGAGCGACGTGATTTCCAGTGGCTTTTGGGGAAGAGCTCTGGGTGGCCTCTGCCTTAGAAAAAACCTTGGGAAAGCTGCTGCGCTGCAACCGGGGCTGTCGGGGCGGGCACTGAGGCAACGACGTTGCTGCGAAGTTTCGAGACTCTTCCCAGGGTGGAGGCACAGCTACAGCATGCTACAGCTAATGCATCACATATGATTCATATGATAGTATTGTTGGTTGGGGGCTTAGTGTGCTTGAGGTGTCGCTGTGACAGCAAAGCAATTGAGGCGAGTCTTGTGGACATGTTTTTGCGCAGACTGGGTCATTAGTTTTGGGTTGGTGGTGAAGGCCGCTTCGGGGACAGGCCAGCCGATCTCGTGGCCTGCCATCGGCGCGTGCCGCATATTACTTTGAAGTTGAGGCCTTTTTGCGCAGTGCAGCCAGAATTGCAAGACTGGACCGCTTGGACAGGTGACGGAGATAGATGCTGAGACCTCAAGCACCTTTTCGTGAGAAGCTCAGTCATGTTGCCCTCTACATGTGCTTTCACGAGTTTGCAAGTTCGCTCCAGGCTGGGCTACGCTTTCTTCGCAGGCCGAAAGCCTCAGGCACGAGCACCCCGTGGTGCCACAGCTTAGCGTGTTATTTGTCTCAGGAGATGGAGCTGCGTTTCTCATGTCCCGTTGCTATCTAGTTACATCTTCAAGCTCTCGGTAAAAATCCCAATCGGGATGAAATTGTACCAGCACCGCATATGTGATTGTTATGCCCCAGACCCTGCTTGGATTCGGTTGTGAAACTCTCCCAGCAGGTGCAGCGCCTACTCATACAGTCAACAGCCGATCGAATCATGCTGCTGTAGTACCTGTGTCAATGGCGGCAGGTGGTCAGTTGCCGCTGCAAGATCAAATCCATCGTACAATGAGGATAGAAGAGTAGGGTAAAAGCTGGGCTGGCGCATGCCAGCACAAAACCAGGTTGCTCTTTCTGCTGGTGCTGTTGTATAAGCGTAGTTGTCAGGACGCTGGCTCGCATGGTTTGAGCATCACTTGGCTGTCCGTGATCACAGAATAAGATAGCTTGCTTGGAAGACGCTGGAGAAAACTTGAGCATGGCCCATAACGATTGTGTTGGAGAAGCAGAGGGAGCATGAAAGAAGCACGGTATACCTGGAACAACCAATTTCGGGTCACCGTCGTAACGAGGCGTCCAAGTCCGAAAAAGTCAGTTGCCATTGCTGCATGTGTGCGGGGACGAACAAATCTTCGTGGGAATCTCTCGGATACTACTGTGAGGATAGAAGAGTAGGGTAAAAGCTGAGCTGGCGCATGCTGGCACAAAGCCAAGTTGCTCTTTGCTGGTGCTGTTGTACAGGCGTAGTTGTTGGGACGCTGGCTTGCATGGTTTGGGTTGTGAAGGAAGAACAGCATCACCTGGCCGGCCAGCTTCATCTTACTCTGCACCGTGAGGGCTTCAACTTGTGGCTCCTGCCTGTGATGTGGCCATCCTCAATACATGTGTTGATGCAATCAGACGCCCTTTGAATCCCATTCGCCTAGCTGTGTTCATGGTGGGTGATAGTGCCGACGTTGCGCGCTGGGTTGCTGGTGAGGCTCAGCGTGCTACTCTGCACCTTGTTCATCTCTTGCATCTTGTGTTGGATTCCTTTCTTTAATTGCATCAGTTTGGTGTTGAGTTCCCGGATTTCCATTATGCCCTTCGCACGCGTTTAGTGTCTCACAGTTTGCGTGAGCATATCTCCGCTGCTGATGCCTTGGCCGATGCTGGTGCTGATGGGCATACCCTCAAGCAGTTTGATTGGCCTACCATCCGGGACATTCCGGGACCTTTGGGCGTCCTGCTCTTTTTTGATGGTTCCGCCCGCGGCAATCCTGCTGGTCACGCTGGGGCTGGCTGTGCTCTTTGGATCGCCGCTGTCATGCCTGATGGTCAGAATGCTGCATGGCGCTGTGTTGCTCCGGCCTCAGCCTATTTATTTGGGGATGCTTTCCAACAACGCTGCTGAAATGTACTCTCTTCTCATTGCCCGTATTTTGCTAATCAAATTCCTGCAAGCTGTTCGCATGGGCGACTATCAGTGCAACTCTCCGCCTGTTCAGTGAATTCCGGCGTTAGAATGAGCTGACGCGTGCACATTCAAACTGTGCTTTAGTTGTCATGACGTTCGGTGCTCTTTAGTTCGGGTCCGACGATTTGTTGCATTGGTTGGAAACCAAAGGGCAGACAGTCTTGCGACTGCGAGGGCTGCTGCTTTAGCTAAACGAGCCCACCCTCAGCATGTTTACTTGACTGGGTTGATCGTAGAACGGATGCTGTCGTTACTTGGCTTTGGAAAGCCACTCAATTCCATCTTAAAAATCAGCAGCAGCTGGTTGGGAAGTTTCACGGACCTAGGAAGGCCACCCGATCTGAGTTGGCGAGGGACTCCCAAATACTCGCTCCGACCCATCAGTGGGACCATCAAGGTGAGGGTAGAGCTAAGTGCTGCTGGTGTAAGCTGCAGTTGCGAATGCACGATTCCTGTGCAACCATGCGGGCAAAGCTAGCCACTCCGTTTCAGCCCGGGCGAGATGGTCAGCATGCCGGCTCTGATGCGTAGAGGTGTGCATCGCTCCCACACTTTTGAGGTTTCCGATTCTGGTTTAAGATGTGTTCAGTGTGGTCGGCAGCGGCCAGTCACACGCCTGGGGATTTTCACGAAAGTGTGCCCTAAAGAGGGCAGGCGCAGATGCAGATTGTGATTTGTGCATGTTTGTCAGTTGTCTTTGGAAAAAGTCGCTGCTCTTCAGCATAATTAGTGCAGTCAGCCTTGTGAGTGAGCTGACGCATGTACGTTCAAGATACGCCTCAGCTGTGATGACGTTCGGCGGTCTTCTAGTATGGTTGCTTGGTCTGCCTATCTTTTCCAATGATGTGGCGGACGGCACATGCTGTATGCTAGAGTGCTGAGCGCTTGCTGACGCGAGTGAGTGCCCTGACTTGCTCAGTACGGGATGCTGGAGGGTTCAAAAGATCACCTGGCTGTCTGTGATCACAGACTAAGACAACTTGCTTGGAAGACGCCGGAGAAGACTTGAGCATGGCCCGGAATGATTGTGTTGGAGAAGCAGAGGGAGCATGAAAGAAGCACGGTATACCTGGAACAACCAAATTCGGGTCACAGTCGTAACGAGGCGTCCAAGTCCGAAAAAGTCGGTTGCCATTACTGCATGGCATGTGTGCGGGGATGATCAAATCTTTGTGGGAATATTTGTGACGATCCGCCTTATGTTGCTGCCACCTTTGCGGGGCAAAGGGCTTGCTGGGCGGGGGCAACAGAAGATCTGCCTGAGTTGTCCGGAGGTACGAGTTCTGCATCATTGTCTTAGCAGCTTAGCATTTTCAACATGTGGTGTGACAGGAGCCTCTTCCGCAAACGTCTTGGGAGCTGCCTGGTCCATAGTGGACTTGGAATCAGCCAAAGCAAGAAAATGCAACAACTGGCTGGGCTGGCTGAGGCCCGGCGCATTCGTGCTTGGAGGCCCGTGTGCCAGTTAGTCAAGTGATTTGAACTGTCGACACTGCGATGCCTTTCGCTCATTGCACTTGCATGCTTCAGCATGCAGACTTTTTATGCACAAGCATCACTTGGCTGAGAAAGTGTGTTTGGACAGGGGAGCTGCCGAAGGCATACTTTGGTGGCACGGAGATCGGGAGGCAGGAAGTGTCTTTCCGCTTACGTGCTGTCCGATCAACTTTGCCTGCCAGCTCTTTGGAATGGCGACCGCTGATTCACGTGCACCAGGGGAGCCGTGTGGGTGCATTTCTGGAGGCGAAGGGCGCCACAGGTTCTTGCTAGTCCGTGGCATGAGATGAAACTGGCAGGTCAGGGACTTAGTCACTGCCATCGCCTCAGCATCCGTCTGAGCACTTTCTGCCGATGGCCTTGAACGTCACCATCGATTCCGAAGCATACGGCAACAGCTTGCGCTCCTACAGTAGTGCAGGGCTCGCGCGAGCTGCCGGTCCTGCGGCTTTCCATTTTCCAGGATGGCACTCTGCGGACTGAGGCCTGCTATGGTTTGCTTATTCAAGCCTGCTAGCTTCCTTGAAATCCTGATCGGGAGGCATCCATTTGCCCGTCAAGCCTGTCATCCTTGACACAGGTACCTGTACTTGTATCGGCTGCCTCAGACCGCGTGCGAATCCTGCAAGGAGGATCAAAGCTGTATTTCTGCTGCAGCAGCAGGGCAGAGGCCGTACGGCCTGGTGGAGGTGCCTCAGAAGTTCATTGTCGGTGCTGCCGCGACGTCTTGAGAACGAGAGGTCCGCGGCAACGTGCGAAGTCTCCGCCTATGTACAGACGTTCGCATCTTAGCTGCTTGGAAACTCTCAGAGGAACCTCTGACACATGCCCTCCTGCAGAGGTCAGCGAGCCACCTGTGCAGCGCTGACCTGGCGACAAGCCATCTGGCGTCCGTTTGCTGACAGCAAGCCGTTTCGATCCAGACCGATCCTGAAGGCGAGAGAAGGTCACTTCCAAGAAGTGTCGTTGCACTCGCCTGTCCCTGCATCGCTACGCCACAAGGCGCTGCCATGAGGCGTGCGTACCATTTTCAAGCCTCCTCAAGCCTGAAACCCGAGGCTCCTGCAGTGCAGGCGATGCGCTGCGTGTCTAGAAATTAAGTCAGGCTGTCACCATGTGCAGCCTGCGGAACGCACGGTAAAAAAGTCTGCGCAACCTCCGAAATGTTGAAGCGAAGAGCTGAGTTTTCTTGAGAGTGGCCCAGGCGCTTTGGAGAGCTTCCACATGTTTCGGCATCCTAGCGGTAAACCCAGGGGCATTGGCGTCTACTGCTCAGATGCTGTACTCTTCTTGCATTAAAACCATTTGGCTCACCATGACTTAGATTCCAGGTGGTCAAATTTGTCGATCCACATGCTGCGACTCAGGCAGGGGCCCAACTGATGTTGAAACGTTGACAATACCTCTCACAACGAAAGACATGTTCAGATCCTGGCGAGTGGGATGCAGATCGAAGGATGGCAGCTGTTCCTGAGAGAGGCCAGCTGCACGACAATTTTCATATGAGCAAGTCTCTCCTGATGATATCCTCAGGCAGACTCTCGTGGTGAGCGTGCCCCAGGCTCAGCTGCTGACACAAGATCTCGCAGGAGCCAAGTGTTAGCATTGCTCAGTGCCTTGAGCTGCTTGTAAGGCGGGTGGAACAACATCTTCCCCCAACCAAAGCTGGTCTTCGTGCGACTGTCTGCTGCTGGCTAGTTGCCAGCTTGGCTCTGTTTGAATGTCCATGAGGTACCAGGAAGATTGGTCTTCTGGAACTGACGTCGACCCTGGAAAGGTCACAGCATGGGACATTCATACTGCATGTGTACTTTGCCTGAGAGTAATGTCTGTAAAAGCCATATATCCACTTCTTTGGCCTGCTGAAGCTCTTGCAGCCTACCTGACATTTGGCCATCGCAATTATGAAGCTCCTGGACTGTGCTCCCGGCTCAAGTGTATTTAGGACAACAACCAATGTGGGAAGCCAGTTTTTATCGATACAAGTTAGGCAACCAATGCTTTCACATGGGCCTATCACCGACAAAGGGCTAGCACTGCCGAAGCTGTACCTGTCCTTGTTGCCAGCTTGGCAGCATGAGCCGTGTGCTCAGCTTCTCATGTCTCAGGAATGTCGTAGAACTTCAGAAGGAGCACTCCCTAGAATGGAACAAGTCTGAGTAGCAAGCTGAAGTGCTCATCTATGTGCTTGCCAGAACATGTGTACCAACTGACACGGTTTGAATCCTTTTTTCGACGATAAGTTAAGTTAGTGTTGCTGTGCAAGGAGGTGATTAGCGGAAAGGTTTTGGAGAAAATCTCCTTTTGGCACGCAGACTCGGCTCAGCCTAGACCCTAAACACACAACCCTGAACCCTGAACTAGTAGTTTCATGATCTTTTCCACTATCTTGATATATCCCGGAGCAATTCAATACAGATGAATAGTTCCCGGAAAGCAACCGGCATTTGGAAGACAGAAGGCATGCCTCAGCTACCTCGAAATGGAAGTTTCCCACAATAGGGGGAACCCAATAATGTAGACCCCAATATACTAACGTACCATAGTCCTTACTATAAGAATCCCGAACACAAAATTAGGGAAGATACCATAGTCCTTACTATAAAAATCCCCAACACAAAACCCCTAATTTTGGGAAGCTTCCAAATGTTGACACAGTACACGCCCCCCAAGTCCTAAAGCCCTCCACCCTAAGCCCTAAATCCTAGACCTTAAACTCACAGCATCACTGCTCGCTGGCCTCTCACGGGAAACTTGATTTGTTTTACTGGATGGATTTCGGGACTTTGGGGTAACAAAGGAGGCAAAAGCTACTTTACTTATACTATTGATATTGAAAGTTTTCAGGGTAGCAAAGAAACTTCATACATGTAACTGTCAATAGCGTAGGCCAAGTGTTATTCAGTGCTCTTTCTGCCTCCCTTACAATCCTGCATAGTATAGGCTAAGTATCATTGTGCCTTCTTGCTAGCCTAAGGTTGTAGAGGTGTGCAACGTGTTTCTTTCGGGGTGTGCTGTGTTTGCCCTTGACAGTCCGAGTGGCCACAAGTATTACTGAGTGCTTTTTCTGCCCTCTTACAATCCTGAATTGTTAAGGCTAAGTATCATTGTGCCTTCTTGCTATCCGAAGGTTGTAGAGGTGTGCAAGGTGTTTCTTTTTTCGCTTGCTGTGTTTACCCTTGAAAGTCTGAGTGCCCATAAAACATAAAGATCATTGGTTATTTTCTTCGTCTTGCACGTCTGAATGATTCGTGTTCAAGTACATGTTAGGAAATAAAGTTTGTAAAGGTGCGGGAGGTTTTCTTCTGAGTTTGCTGTGCCCAACATCCTCTATGAGCTTCCCATGCCTGAAGTCGTTGTGGACGTAATTATCCCACCCCTCACCCCTCCCTCAAAAACAAAGGCTGTCAAAACTGTGATATTCCGTAAAAATCCAAAAACGCTTTTTTTGGCTAAAATAGCCCAAGCTGGAAAAAGCTACGAAACCC